CGAGGATTTTTGAATATCTTTAAATGTGGATTTTTGATGGCGGCGATCAGTGTACGATCTTAGTTTAGAAGCTTATGTTTCAAAGAAGACCAGTTTTTGTCGCTTTCCATGAGCAGTTTTTCCACATGTTCATCCTGAAAATGCTGCATATGTCGTAGAGGTTACAGAATGTCCATTCTGAAGCCAAAAAGAGCCGAAATCGCAAGATTTTTGGCCCGCATTCCAAAGGTCCCGATGACTTCCGGTAAAATGCGGGTCAATGAACCTTCAACTTGCTGTAATTAGCATACTGAAGCGTGATTTAGAAAAACAGACCGGGAATACGTCCAGTAAAAAGAACAGCCCAAAAAAACGCCATTATTTCGCGCCCCCCGAGGTCACGTGACCACAGCCAGGATGGCGGATTTTGTGTCCTTGGGCTCTTGTCGTCTTGCCAGACGATCTACAGCTTCAGTCGTTCTCTGCGGGTCTGCCTGAACAGCGCCTTTCGTGGCTGGTACAGCCGATTCTGGACCGGCAGGCTCTGTCGCAGAACCGGCAGCAGTACTCCTGTGTGATGCTTTTCTCCTCTCCCTTTCGTCTGCTCCTTGCGTCTGCCTTTCTACTCTCTCTAGCTTTGAACAGTTCTGTCCCTTTGTGTATCGCTGCTCTCCACATACTTCTATCGCTTGCTACCTTCTCCCAGGACTCAATGGAGAAGTCTTGGAGAGTGGCTTTGCACATATCCTTAAACCTCAGCTTAGGCCTTCCTCTTTGTCGACTCCCTTGAGAGAGTTCACCGTACAGTATTTTCTTAGGAAGCCTGTTGTCGTCCATCCTCGCCACATGGCCTAGCCAGTGCAACCTGTTTCGCCGCAGGATCTCGAACAAGGACAGTGATCCTGCTTGCTGGAGAACTTGCTCATTTGTGATTTTGTCCTGCCATTTTATGTTTAAGATCTTCCGCAAGCAGCGTAGGTGGAAACTGTTGTCTTTTTTTCCTGTCGTGAGTAGACTGTCCAAGTTTCGCTGCCATATAGTAAGGTCGACAGTACACATGTGTTGTAGACCAGTACCTTTGTCTTTTTTGTCAGCTTCTGATTTCCCCACACTCTCTTACTTAGTTTTCCGAAGGAAGCAGCAGCTCTGCCGATCCTTACATTTATTTCCTCGTCCAGAGAGTGGGTACTTGTCATCACTGATCCCAGGTAAGTGAACCTGTCAACTGTTCGGAGGGCATTTCCGCGCAGTGTGATCAAAGGTGGGACGGGAGTACCTTGCCCCATTACCTCCGTTTTCTTGACACTGATGGTAAGGCAAAAGAGGTCACAGGCCCGGGCCAAGCTGTCCAACAGTCCCTGCAGTGCAGTCTCCTTATGAGCCGTGAGTGCTGCGTCATACGCGAAGAGGAGCTCCCTGCATAACGCCCTAACAGTTTTGCTTCTTGCCCCGAGTCTTGCCAGGTTGAACAGTGAGCCGTCTGTGTGTGACCTTATGTACACACATCCTGGTTTCCCTTGAAGGCATAACGGAGGAGTACAGCAAATTAAATGCTAAAGAGGGTCGGCGCCATCACACACCCTTGCTTGACTCCATTCTTGATGTCAAAGAAGTCAGATGTTGCACCCGAACTGGACACAGGCTTTCATGTCCTCGTGGAAAGAGATGACCAATTGTAGGAGTTTGGGTGGACATCCAACGCTCTT